AACCTTATATGTACCTTCCGTATATGAGTAGTTAGTAGTTCTCTAAATTAGGGTCCTTCTTTGGGTCCCAATATAGTACGGCACCCTTATAAAAGGACCCTAACAGGGACCCCTAATTCAGAGAATTGCCCATATATTGTACTTGAACCTTGTACCTACTTCGGGTCTAGGGCTCCAGGATTATGCAGGGTTCACCAAGAAGGTCTGAGGTGCAGCCCATGTGTTTTCAAAGGTCTCGTGAAGAAACGAGGATCTTGAATTAGGTAGCGCTAAACCCTAAACCCTTCACCCAACTTAAGGTTTAGAGTCTTGAGTTTCCTTTCTGGTTTCAAAGCCTGTGGAAGCCAGGCTCAAGAAGCTATAGGGTTTGGCGTTTAGGTTTGAGGTGACAGGTCATCGGTAATATGTGGGACAGGTGGCTTTTGAACAATCTTCAGTGACAGGGGTTGGGAGGGGTCTGATTCAATGTTCGTCTAAACCCTAAACCCTTAAACCCTAAACCCTGCTTGTGCAATTTCTTGCATCTTCTGAGCTGCAGGTTCACAGCTCGAAATGTAGACTTGTACAGGTTTGAGCAAGGGCTTCTTTAAGGGACTGGTGCCGACATGCACTTGAGAAACGTTTGAAGCACATGTTAGGGTTTAGGGTTTCGGTTTCGCAGCTGACTATGGCGACTATGGCGCGCGAATTGCGTTTCTCGCGCGAATTGCGTTTCTCTCGCTCGTCACCAAGGCTTACCACGACAGAGGCTCTGGCTTTGCATGAGGCCGTAACTCCTGACCGCTGGTGCGTGACCCGATCAGATCTTATGTTTTTGCGGCAAGAGGTCTGGCGAGCCATCCAGAGTGGGAAAATTCGTCCTCCTGATGACGGTGATCCGTTTGAGAAGGCCGACCTCCAGTATGGGCCAAACATCCACACGGTGAACAGGCAGTACATCATGCCGGTGACGGAGGAAGCCGGCAAGGTCAGCTGGGCGCTGATGTTGCATCCGGATGGCTTGGACTGCGACTTGTTCATCAGCCATGCCTGGCTGGAGGGTGTATTCGAGTTTCTGTCCAAGGTCTTGCATTCCTGGCCTGCGGGTTCACGGCACGTTTGGTGCTGCATGCTGGCTAACCCGCAGAATTTGGACATAGGATCCTATTTGCAATCTCCCAGCAGCTCGCCCTTCGCACGAGCGCTCCAGGCCGCCACGTGCGTCCTTGTGGTGCCCAACCGCCACTGCAGCATCTACACCAGGCTTTGACAAAGCCCAAGACAACCCCTAGATCCCAAACCCTGAACCCTGAACCCTACAAACGCTAATGCACTGAAATCCCATTAGAGACACAGCCCAAAGTCCGATTTGTCCATTGAGGCTCTGGTGCGGCTACGAAGCCTACCGCGCTCACGAGGAGGGAAAGACCATCTACATTGCCAGAGTGTCTTGGTTACCTAAACCCCTAAACTCCTAAACACTGAATTATCTGAATTAGACCCTAAACCCTAAACCGTTTAAATGTAGAGTGTCTTGGCCCTCCAATATCAAAAGCATTTGTGCCTTTGTTGATTTACAGCGAACCCCAGAGAGTTGGTACATGGATTTGGGATGACTAGTGCTAGGATCCCTTATTTTTTTGCCTTAAGGCCTTAAGGCTACCAGGATGATGATGTTCCAACTTTCTGGCTTCGATTGTGGCAGGGTCAAGGGCTTGTCTAAGTTAGCGAGAATCGGAACATGGAATCTTCAGGTTTCTTTACATGGTGGTTTAGGGTTTTGGGACTAGGGTTTAGTTGATGTAGCAAGGCATCGAATCGGCGACAGCTGCGAGATGCCTTGCTCTGGGCAGGCTTGTCAGGACTCCACTCGCTTTATTGCCCTAACAACTCCAAGCTGCACCCTTGACCTACCATCAGTGTTTTACTCTGTTAATTATAGGTTGGGGTTTGTAGATACTGGTTAGCCTGCAATTTTTTTCGTGGTACGCTACCTAATCAGAAGAGGAGCTTGAGATTGCAGATAGAAAAGGATGTCACGTATGATTAGGGGTTGTGTATATTCCTGAATTTAGGGGTTGTGTATATTCCTGAATGGAAGATCCGGGTAGCTTTGTCGAAAAACCCCAAAGACTCCGGAGACTGACTTCCCTGTGGACAGGACTCATCGGCATGATATGTGGCACCTTGATGTTGACGGAATCTTTGTTTCTGGTTTAGTCTAGGTCTAGGTTTTTTGAGGGATGCCTAGGACAACATGAGATGAGAGAGTTGCACAACAATCCAGGCGCTTGTTTGGGACACTTCAACATCCACATTGTCAACATCTTTATCCAGCCGATGCTGACGTACATAGTAGTGGCTATCTCTTGTATCAGCGGCATCATTAACCACAGCAGCTGTCGCAAGGTGTTGAACAGGATCGGTGCTCTGACCTCTGGCTTTGTCTTCATATTTGGGCGAAGCTGGGGTTTCGATCCCGATGGTGTCGATGGCGCGCCGTTTGTGGTACAGCGCTTGTATGATTTGATATTCTTCTTGCTGTTGGAGGTGGACCGCGTCAACGGCGATGCCAACATGGAGGAAGCGCAGCATCTCAGAAGCGGGTTTTCGGGCAGCATAGTGCAGGCAACGTGTTCCAGGGACGTTGATGCAGAGCGCATTTTCACAGAGATTGGCGAGAAAACCGCTGATGTCGACTATGCTATCCATGTGCTTCTAGCTGCAGGAATGTCATCACCAACACTTCGGGCGGTTGCAAAACGATCGATTGATATTCGAGGAGCGGGTCACGCCGAAATTGCTTTTCCGTTCCTTGCACTTGTGCCGCTTACTTTGGAAACTGCGTGGTCAATTTACGGTGACTTCGTCTACCACAACAACGACGTTTACCTACGCGTTGCCCCCTTCTGGCTCATCCACAGCATCACAGTTGCGGCTCGCGTTGGCCTGCTCATCCTGTTATGGCGTTCACCTCGTGATGAAAGATGCTTCATCTTGAAAATGATTTGCAAGATGGTGGCTGTTTACCTGATCCTCTACTGCTCTCTTCATGCAGTTTGGACGTCACAGCAGAGCATAGTTGCGCAGTTTCAATATTGGTGTGTTCTGCCCCTGACGGCTTACACGAGCATGCTCGGACTTGCTTGCACCTAGCTTTACTTCAGCATTTTTTGTAGAAGCAAAAAGCTTCGCTTCTAGGGACGCATTTCGTGGCTTAGTCTCAAAGGCGATAACTTAAATCCTAACCAGAAAGATCTCCTGGTACCAGTCTTTATGAAACACCTATAGTCTCCATTGCAGTTTCTTGTTTTTGGCTTAACCAATTTTATTATTAGGAACCCATAAGCCTATAAGGTACCCCCAACAAGGAACTACAATGGCGACTATAGGCATATTTCAATATCCCTTGGAGTCGGGTTCGTCTTGGATTTCTAAGTCTCATGGTAGAGACTCAATGCCCAATCCAAAATCCCGGCCCCAGCCCCAGTGTGCTTCAAGAGGCGATACAAGCAGATGTACCGTAAGCCCTGAACCCGAAATTCCAAGCAGTAATCTGAGGCCTTGGCATGCAGCGACTCGCATCTGTGCCCGCTTGTGGAACTTGTTTGCTCCAGCTCTTCCTCGCCCGAGCAAGAGGCAGAGGAGTAGTGCGTCAAACATTATGTCATAGCATAACCTATTCCTTAAACCTTAAACCCTAAATCTATTAAGCAGGTGGGAGGGAAAAAAACCCAGTAAGCTAAGTGGGAGGGAAAAAACCCTACTAAGGGTGTGCGCTTCAAGGTATGAGGGTAGAGATGCTTTCTTTTTGGGTCTGCAGGGGCGACTTGTAGGGTTGAGCAGGGTCGCTGGCAAACACCTGTCAGGATTAGTTGAGTTTTTTTGTAGTCTAGGCTGCGCCTGTGACTCTTGGGGTACCATAACCCCAATATTATGGCAAGAGGGTGTTTAGCAAGTCCTATTTGGTAATATCGGCTAGATAGCTTTTGACCATTTTGGGTTATTATAGCCCAGATATAGTTTCAGATTCCCAAAGGTTAAAGCGGTTCCAGTTCAGGCTGCAAGGGCATCCTCCTACTAGGCCGAGAGCCCGGATCTTCCGAAATCCCGTAATTCGGAAGGAACTTTCCATCATATCAGGGATCAGACGATAACTTACTATTCTGGAGTTCAGAAAGATCTGGGCAGCCCAAGTCCCCGTCATTGGGATCTGGGACTAGGGTTGGCCTGTGAGAGAGAGAGAGAGAGATTAGTCTTTTTGTGCACCTCGACACTTTCGTGGAGAGCCCATTCCGAATCTCCAAGCCTTCAACGCCAAAGCCCTCAAGCAAACCTTCAAACGCCAACAACCCTAAACTCCCTAAAAACTGGTTGACTTCAAGCTTCGACACTCCATGATGGGTTCATTCCCAGCTTTCTTCGAGAATCAAGGCTTTTGAGCAAAGAGTAAGCAGTTACCTCAACTATTAGGTTACGTAATCTGTGGCACGTAACCTACTATTTAGGTAACCGGAGCCCTAAGGTTCATCACCCGACCCTAAACGAGGTGTACACGCCTGGATCTGCTGCTCAGGCCGTGCCTGCAATCAGGTATTTTTCGGGATTTTTATATGCTTAAACGTTCTGTGAAGTTTAGTAGCTAATCGGGAGCCCTGCTTCGAATCATCAACCTAGCAAGCCGTCTCGTTGTTGCTGAGGTTTTTTTTTTTTTTGTGTGCGGTGGTGAGGGCTGGTTTGCAGCAAGATTTAGAGGAACTCTGTGTACACTCAGGCTTGTGCAATGTCATCTGCTGGATCTCCAAATCTAGGCTTAGGGCTTACGTAGGGCTTGCATTCGGAAGTTGGGGTTTGGAGGTTTGAGTCACATGTTACCTTCGGCTGCCTGCCTGACTCCCTCCTCCTGGGTCCTCAAGGGAATCTACCCTTCTGGTCATGGTTCGTGCAAAGGTCTAAGCCCACACCTAGATTTGTAAACCAATGTCACAACGAATTTTCAGGCGAAGAATGTTTTCGGACCCTGATGCAGCTCGAGACAGCAAGTGACAGCGATTCGTCTCCGTCCTCAACTGAGTCTACGGTCTGAACTGAAACTGGCCATAAAAGCGCGGTTTCTGTTTAATGGCACAGCTACTTCCGTGCCTCGTTCCATCAGCGCTGTTTGAGTTTTAGATTCTCACATCGCTACAGACGGCTCATCTGTGTGAGCCCTGGAATCCTCTCACGCCCCACTTTTGCGGCAACCTGGCGGGTACACGAATGTAAAGGCCTAAATAATGAGAATAGGGTTTTGGGGGTTCCCCATTGAAGTTATGGTATAATGTACCCGCCAAAGGAGGCAAGCCTAAGCCGGACCATAGTCAGCAGCCTGCAAGAAGAGGTCCATACTAATTAATCATCGGCGTCACCAGGAATCGGCAATGATTCTCTGTGCTGCTCGCTTTTGTGCACCCCCTTGGGTTCGATTTGTCAGGAGACACGGGCAATAGCCCTGTGTGAAGCCAGGAATCGACAATGATTCTCTGTGCTGCTCAATTTTGTGCGTGCCCTTGGTGCGATTTGTTAGGGGGCACGGGCAATAGCCCTGTGTGAAGGATGCTTCGGGCCGCCTCATGGCCGCATCACCCCCAAAATCCATTCGAACTTTTTACGGCCCCTGTATATTATACAAACCATTCGTCCAGCGTGCTGCCGTTCCCAGCAAGAAAAGACCGCAAAGCAGCGCCGATCTCTTTGAGTTCGGCCTTTTCCGGGCTCAGGGCTTGCATAGCGTTAAGGGGCTTGCACGGTCTAGGGTTATAGGGGTTTAGGGTTTAGGGTTGAGTTTAGGTCCCAACGACATGAAAAGCCCTCAATCGCACACCGTGCATCGTTCATCACCGCGTCCAATTGCAAGGAGACCTTAACCTCCAGCCAAAAACGGAGGACCTTGTGTCAAGCAATGGCTTCGAGAATGTACGGGTCAAGGGCCTACACCCCAAACCCTAAAGG